CTGATATTTGTGTTCTAGACTGAACAGGCTGGGTCAGGCGTAAAGCTATTGTACAGAAGATCAATAAGGACTCAGAGTTGACTCAAGGCTGCTCGTGATGCTTAACGTATCATTGGTTTAGCACAGGGACAATTACATAGAAGTTGGTACTTTGGTTAGCGATTTTGTCACGTGATATTTGGCGGGCCATATGACAACAGAATTCTTATCATTCATCACCAAATGTATCTGAACTGAAGGCAATAATTTAATATATTTATTGAGACTGCTCAGTTTTAAAATCTAATCCATTTTTTAGCCAATCGGATTTCATTACCAACTCACATTGAAGCAGAGCTTAACAGTAATGACTACCCAACAGAACGATGACTGTTAGGAGGGTGGAGAAAAAATAGGTCACAGAGAAACAATTGTAAGAATATAATTGTTGAACAAGTCATCCAAGTTCATAACCAAGCTAGAAGGTTTACATTGACGACACACAAAAAATCAATATGCGTATACACGAATCAAGTATTAATGTGAAGTATGGTTTTTAAAGTTGGAAAAACAAATACTATTTAGGGATACTGTGTGTGAACCATCTTTGAAAACTTAAGTTAAAAATGTGGAGTGGTTTTAGGAAATATTTAATACACTACAAAATTTGATTAATCACTCGTTAATTTACTAGTCTAATCGTACCATGTTTATTCATGAAAACCATTCGCTTTAAAAGATAATGAAAAGCTTACTTTAGCAGTTTCAAAAGTCGCTTATTGTTAATCTACACTATACAGCATCTCAATTATGTTTATAAAAGTGGTTTCCTGGAAATTTACTTATATAGTCATAAATATCCAAGTCTACTTGAAATCGGCTACTTATATGAATTCTTTTCACTTTTTATCGAAATTCCGAATCATTTGGAAACGCCTACCATTCCAAACTTTTTAGGCCGAAAGAATGATTGTTAATAAATGAAACTCATAGTTTAGGAATGATTTGAAATCACTTTGAGCTTTCCATAGTGAGCTACAATGCTCAATTGCAATTCACATTTAGAATGCAATTCAGTGTGATCTCTAACTGGCCTATGAGTAAGAGGTGTGTATGTAATTAATGGAATTCCAACAAACTAACTGATCAGGTACATCATTTTACCTCAATGTCAATCGAGCTATCTGGATGGAAAATGTAAGCAACGAATTATTAATTCAATATTACTTTAGAATAATTTTTTGCATAAGATTGTTGTCAAAAGTTGCCCGAACTAGAACCACTAATATTCACATTAAAATGCTAAATCAATTTTTTATTCGACGTTAAACGTCTATTTATTTGGGTAAAACATAAATTTCTTATCCAAACTAAATTAATCTTACATCGTTGAAGTATACCACGTAATTTATATATGGAAAAAAAACTTGAAAAAACTATGTGAATCCGCGCACTTACTATAACGACGGCATTCTGTGTTATGTCCCATAAATTTAAAAAGCTAATGCCACAGACAAAACACATTTTAATTTTTTTTATGTATGTCATGAGTGTACTTCATTGCATCTGCATAGCTAGGTAAAGACGGAATGAAAAAGATTTCCATTCTTATCAACACAATCCGACTCCAAATAAAATGAATCTTTCGAATTCAAGTCAGTTTCATTGAACTTTTGCTTGGTGCTTATCATCATATGGTTAATAAACATGTCAACTTGTCATAAAATGTAAAGATTAGGAGTACGTATTTCATTAATAACTTTTCTATCCGATATATATAATCACTTCAGAAAATATATATCAGATTGTTTTTTAATTGTTTAGGTTTTCAGTTTGCATCAATTAGGTTATCACAAGTAACAGCGAACTCTCATCTCATGTAATACATTCGGAACGATAGAACTTTTAAATAAATACTAAGGAGTTAAAACATTTAAAAAAAATTATAAATGTAAGTTTAATTTTGTGTTCATGAATAGAAACTTATCATTCTAACTAAATAGATATTAAAACTGTACATAGTTATGATTGAATCATAAATGAAGGAAAAAATTTATGACATTTTCGTGAGCAATGAATTAGTGCAGAAAATCGATAATCCTATCTAAGCCTCTTCATTGTGATTTACAGTTAATTCTATTCAAAGCTTTTAACATATGTCTATTTTCAACTATTCTCAAATACTTCTGAATAAATATCCAAAAGAAATATGTATAATTATTTGCATAATATTTGATGATTAAAACGATCTAGCAAGAAGTTTTTTTTTATAACTTGAATGTCACACTTGTTTACACTCACATCAACACAACGTATATCTATAATGTTTTAGAAACTATTACTTTCCATTAGATTTAAATAAATATCACTAATTATTACAGTCAATATAAATTAACTCTGAAATATTCAGATCACAGATGATCTTTAACAAATATACTTCATATGATTTATGAAAATTATTAAATAATAATGCAATAATCAGTTCATTTAATTATTAATTACTATTTGTAAAAGAATAAATCATAATTAATTTAAATCAAATTCAGACAATAAAAAAAGAAAAAAAGAAAAAAAGAAAAACAATGGAGAAAAAAGCTTTAAAGTGCATAAATATATGGACTTAATAGTTTCTTCAAAAAAATAATGATAACTTCTTCTCTAATGTAAACGTTTATATAGAAACGATTGTTGATTAGATATAAGTCACTGATCTGATAAACAATAAAGTACTTCATTTATATTTTTATTATAAAAATAGAAACGTGATTAATCAAACACTTTGAAATGAATAGTTCACATGATAAATAATATTAAAGTATAAATTTATTTATTTAATAGGAATCAATTAATTATTCGTTTTCTTTTGTGAAAAATATATAATTAGTCAATAGGGAAATTAAATAACACATGAAATTTAATTGTTAACCATAGAAATAAAGAAAAAATATTTTTACTTAAAATAATAATTTAAAAAACAAACAAACAAACAACTTTCTCAGAAGGGGTTTTGTGGAGGTTTCAGAAATTTCACTGATCGAAATCATTAGTCAATTGAAGCTAGATCACCATGGAAAACCTGGAAGCACTGGACGGTCGTTTCGTCATTTGCTCACTAGTGACTGACTTTAAGAGATATTCTTGGAGTTCTAGTGAGAAGCAGCGACCAGTGGAGTTCAACCAGGTCTGTTGTGAGATATCAACTCACTGAAGACAATGGTGTATGGAGGCGCAACCTCCTGGATTGGTTGAAGTTAAACAATAACATCGTTGGATGCCGGCTCAGTGGTCTAGTTGGTTAAGCTCCTGGCGCGAGACCGATAGGTCCCGGGTTCCAATCTCATGGGGTGCGGGATCGTGGATGTGCACTGGTGAGGAGTACAAAACTAGGACGAAACGGCCGTCCAGTGATTCTAGGTTTTCCATGGTGGTCTAGCTTCAATTGGCTCATGATTTCAATCAGTGAAACAACTTTCTATTAAATATACAACTCGATTCTAGTCTATTATTTACTAGTGTTTTTAAATTATTTTCATTATATCTTATAATATTTAATCTTTCATTTTAATTAATATATTTTGTTCAAAATCTTAAAGATAATTATATACTTCCAGGTTTTCCACGGTGGCCTAGCTTTAATTGATTCATAAATTCAACCATTGAAATTATTATAATATTCACAAAACCTCTTTTGATATTAATCAACATATGCTCACTAGTGACTAGCTTCAAGAGGTATTTCATGGAGTTCTAGTGAGAAGCAGTGACCAGTGGAGTCTGTTGTGAGATAGTAACTCACTGATAACGATAATGGATGTGTCGCTTAATTTGGTCGATACTTTGAAACTAAACATTAACATCGTTCGGTTCCGGCTCAGTAGTCTAGTGGTTAAGCGCTCGCGAGCAAAACTGATAAGTCCTGCGTTCGAGTCCCGCAGGTTGGGGCCGTGGATGAGCACTTCTGAGGAGTCAATCACTTATCACGTATAGGAAAGTGGAATTGTTTGTTCTGTTTTCATTTCTTATTTATTTCGGATCTTGTTCTCTAGTATCCAAGATAAAATTAAATACTTCTAACTATTCTAGTGGTTCAACTCTTGATGTTAATGATTTAATGATTAGTTTCTATAAACAAGTAAACTGTACTAATAATGAGTTGACTTTTGTGATTTATTCAGTATGGAACTACTCAGTTAAATCGCCTGTAAAAAAAGAAACTCAATTATACAATATGCATGTTTTAAACGTATATTTTTTATAGAACATAAGGTTAAATGTTCTCAAAACTCATCAACTGAAAAACATGTTATAACTAACTGAGAACCAGTATTATGTACAAATAAGAAGCAAAATACAATCCGTAGATGGTTTTTTCAGTATAATATGGTAGGCAAACTATGGTTATGAATAAATCCTTTTGCACTTACAAAATACAAATAATTACTGTTTACAAAATTAAATTAAATACCTTATTAGCTTAATCGTTAGAGCATTGATTATGAACGTATTAAGAACAAAAGAATTGAAGTAGATAAACATGATATTAGTTAACATGTTAGTATCTCAATATTAGAGGATTCATGTCATTACCGGAGTGGCTCAGTAGTAACGTTCAAAATTCTAAAGCTTAATGAAGCGCGTCTGAATTGTAGGGAGATCGCCAGTTCCCTCATGAGCCCAGACGTCCCCTTCTGAAGTGTGTCAACTATGGCGAAACCTATACCCAGAGTTTCCTGTAGACTTATTCTAGCAATCTAATATTAAAACATAGTGACAACTCATAACGGTGATTACCTATTGTATGTTATTGTCTTTTTGTCAGAAAAATGGACAAATTTTTTCGTAAACTAAATTGGCGAATGCACGCTGCATAAACTATAATTCTAATTAAAAATATGATAGGATGACAGACTAGCTACTGAACGTTTCTGAAATTAAACATTATGTAATACATTTACTATTCGTTGGAAAAACCGACGAAACTAAGAAACTATTGAAAGCTGAGGACGATAAAAATACATTACCTAAAAGCAAAGCAATATTTGCTAGACTCTCCGAATTGATGCTGATCTTGATCTACCATATTTCTGCGGTGACGTGCATCTACACACATTCTGACAAGAATACTCATGATTTAATAAAGCAGCAGCTTTATCTTTTTGCGATGCTGCATATATTGGATTACGTGTACATGCTTCTCCTTTCACCAAAATACATGCTTTAACCGATTTACATCTATTAGTCTTATCCATTTTTGTTGATTGAAATCGCTGTTGAATTTCAGTAGGTCTTTGATTATATAAAATTAAACATGGCCAAATGTAATGGTGAACTTGACCAGCAGATGGGTCTGAATCATAGCTTCTTCGATAACTTGAAAATAATATGGTGAAAACAAAACACAAATTTTGAATTAATTGATAAATATATTACGATTCTTGTTGTATGACTGCTTACTAAAACAATATAAACAGACTGCGTACCATTTGTCATTGTATGGATCACCAGGTTTGGCAGCTTTATCCACATCTGCATACCAAGTAGACTGAACTCCATCTGATTCAATATCTAGTTGTGGACTCTTTTTTCCAGCCAGTAGGTGCCAAGCAAGACAACAAACTTCCTTTAGAAGGTTATCTAAAGCAGTCAGTTCCTGAGATGTCACAGGTCGTCTTATGGAAATAGGCCGTTTAATATTTGTCCCACTCATCGAAGTAATTGAAGTATGACATGCGCATTCTGGTGGAGCGTGACGTGAAAGACGCCTGAATGTTGCGGCTACAAGTTTATCTAATTGATCAGCATTGAGCGATATGTCTGATGGGGAGAATTGTCGCTCACCAACATTCCTTGACACATAATTTTCTTTTTGAGTGTAACTGGGAAGACGATGGATCACATGGCTGGTGACAGTGAAGCCGGCCTAAACGTAAATAACAAAATTATAAAAATAGTTTTATAGTTGATATCAGTGTCCATAGACGACGATCGATGAAGAGTTTTGCGATAATATGACAATTTATATACGAATTACATAGATTACGAAACTCAAGAGAATTTGAATTAAGAAGAGCCTAGTAAATTACCGACTCGAGCAAGAGGTTAAGTTTTTAATTTGAAACTTCAAAATGGAATCAACATTTACAAATCATCTACTGGTAGAACATTAAATGTTGAGGTTTTCAAACCAAATTTTTCCATCCAGTTTAGAATATGAGCTACTAATGTAGAGTTTTCACGAGATGTATTCACTATGTGTTTCACCTACCAAATCTTGTGTTTTTCAACATTGTTGCTGTAACGACATATTCCTTGTGCTATAATGCCACCAGGGACTCCTAGTCGAAATAATGTTACTTTAATATACGAGTAATAAGCCTCATTTAAAAGACATTCATTATGTTTGTATAAAAAATGTCGTGATAGTTTTAAAAAACAAAACGAGTGCTGAAATTCTAGTGACATTACGATACTAATGACATCATAATTCCATAAAATTGAAACATGTTCATTACCAGAACTGCACTTTATTGTAAATATATCGCTCTACAGAAACAGTGTTATACCATGCGACACATATAAAAAGTTTTGAATAATATTTTAAGTGAATTAAAAAATCTCAGTTGAATTTTATTACCTAACCAGTGTATGAAATAATATTACCTTTGATGAATTCGAATAATTAAAAAATATACTTTGATAGTTAAGATATAAATCTGTTATTCACTAATGAAAAACCCATAAACCTATTGCTATTATATAAAGTTGTAAAACTAAAACATCAATGTAATAACACTTTAAAAGGACAATTCTAGATTATTTTAACTAAACGATAATCAATCATCAGATATGTCTCAGTAAAAATTGATATTTTAGTCCAGTTTCTTTCACCAGGCTCGATATAAGAAAGAATGTTAAATAGTAATAGTCCTAGAGCATGATACAGATCTCTGGAAGTTTATTTGTGGTATAATTACAACCATTTCATTCATACCGTTTTGTTGTCAAAGCCAACCATTTGCTACCAGCTAATTAGTCTCATAGAAAAAAAGGGTTGAGTGTAATTTATCTTTCCCATATAATAAATATAATTTTGACATTATTGGTCGTTACAGAAAGCATCCAATTTTTCATACTGATTTTATTAGTGATTAATATTAAGTTCAAACCTATAAAGGATTAAGAAGCAATTGAATAGTTAGTATTACATAATCACTCCTTAGAAACATTTAGTCAGATTAAACACTAGGGCAATATTATTCCGAAAATAATATATCCCCATGCGAAATGTGTGACATATGAGCATCACTAACTGAAATACCACAATACCTATTCTCAATCGATTTGGTCTGTTACGTTCTTGTAAACTATTTTTTTCATAAAATAATTATTACCTGAACTTGTTTGTTTTATGACAAAATATTAGCGTATCTATGCGAACGCCTAAAGAAAAGATAGGTGTGTCTTATACTAAACTCTTTTAAGGTGAATCTTAGTTACACTATCTACTATACGTAAAACGTTACGACAGACAAAACGATCCTATTAGATTAAAAAACAATACATCGTGTGATCATTCGATTACTCCAAATGTTTATCCTCAATTTACAAATGGACAAATCTAAATACCATCTGTATTCCACACCCATAAACATCAATTCAACTGTTATATCGTTGTATAATCGAAATTCAGTTTTTGTGAATCAATGATTTTTCAATCATTCGAAAGATTCCAGTATATAAATTAAATGTAGAATATTTTATTGATTTTTTCTTCACCAATGTAGTATTTTGTAATAAACGAGACACTTCCAATAATACCATCTAAGGTATACACATCGATTAGCATAATCAAATAAACATACAGAGATAGAGAGTTTTATGTTCACCTTACTTTAGTTGGGCTTCTTTAATTCATCAATAGATACATTTATTTCATTTAATTTCTATGTACGGTGTTATTTTAGTGAAAAACGTAGATAGCTTCTTCGTTAAGAACTCAAAGAAATATAATACAATACAGTACATCTTTCATTACCATATGAAGTTACATTGACGTTACTTGGTTTAATGGTGTAAAACTTTGAAATAGATATCATAAATGTTTTCCACTCTTAACGAACAATTTCTGAAGAATTCATCTAGCTTTGGGAATAAAATAAGCACGAATCGTTTACGCTTGTTACAAAAATTGAGTACTCGTCAGGTTATTACCATACTACATTTAAAAAATGTACTTAGTAATCAATTAGAATGACTTTCAAGTGATTTATTCAATGACTAAACCATTATGGTTATTGTTCATTTAATCTTTTTAAGAACAGTGATTCATGTAAATCTCATTGTCTGCCTACACAACATCGACACATAATTCAAAAGATTTATTTATTACTAAATGAGCAAAAATTGCCAGTGAGTTTACTTGTTTGTGAACTCTAAATATAACCATATAATCAAAGAAATATTAAATTGGAAGACATACCGTTGAAACTATGAAATTTTCCAAGCAATAGTAGAAAATTCAGAACAAGAATTATAAAAGGACATGTAATAATCAAACTTCAAAAACGAGAGATATGTTTTCTTATGACAAAATGACTTTTTGTATACCACACCAAGTGAAACTTTTGAACTAATAATTTTCTGGCATTTCGCTGACATAAGTCAGAAATATCAGAATATGATACAATGTTTCTATCGGCACTCGTTTATATTAAGACGTTTATGATATTTTCGTAGAGTTTCTTACAAGTAACTTTACCCATTTTGATTTCTAATAACATCTCAGATCGAGGTAGGGGAGAACCAGTTTTTCCACTAATATGTTTTATAATTTACTTCACAGACAGATATCAATTAAACAATAACTGAACACCAGAAAACCCTAGATGGCCGTTTATCCCTAGTTGGAAATTTTCAGCAGTACATGGTTATTACCAAACCGAGGATAAAATGCAGAACTATTAGGCCTCAACGATCTTAACAAACCCCTTATATTCACAATAACCGTTTGATTGCTAGTAGCTTATTTTGACACATAACTCTTGTAGTTGCGTTGGGAAGCTGGAACCAGTGGATTTCAGTGAATTCAGGTGTAAGGCAGTTGTTCGTCGAAGTCGATAGGAGATGGTAAGATAATCTCGAGGATTGACTCAAATTATACATGTAAAACAATCAACGTCAGCTCATAAGTTTAAATATGAAGTGTTCGTCATGTGAACTGAATCCCATGGATTCGATCGGCAAAGAAGCTGTATTAGCGCGCTTCTAAGAAGCACAATACTAGGAAAAAAACGGCTGTCAAATGTCTCCTAATCTACAAAAGTCGTGTAACCATGGTCGGCGAGTGATGTGGTCTATAATACATATATAAATGAAAATTCAGTGATTTCCACAAACTTCAATCCCAGTATGTTTTATGAACTTATATAATAGATTTTATTACACGTTAATTTAAAATTGAACTTGAAGCTTGAAAGTTTATCAATTGACGACAAATAATTCTTAGTACATATTTTGTGAGACAAGACAAGCTTATAAAAAGGCAAAACTGATAAGTTTGTAGTATTTAATGGTTTAATAGATGTAATATAAAAGTGGTAAACGATTGACGCGATGAAATTTATAACTTTCTTATTTAGCCAGTGATAACTCACTTGAACCGCGTGAAAAATCAAGCGTTGATTTCTTGCACAATCAGATTGACCTAATGATTGTAGATGATCCATACACGACACTCGTAAATTCGTGAATAGATCATTATATCGGCTAACCAAAGGAGAAAGCCAACTTTGAAGATGACTTGTAACATTTTTATCTTCAACAAATTTCACCAGATGATCATTAGAAATGAAAGAATTATCACTTTCCTGAGGATAAATGTCATCATCACTAAAATTTTTAAATTGAAATTTGAAAATCTTTTATTTATGTGAGAAATTATTTTGTAAACATTTACGTATTATGATGATATTATATAAGAATACATAAGTGTGTACAGAATATTCATAATACCTATCTAATCTAAGAGTAATTTCTTTACTAAATGACTACCTTAAACGTAAATGCTTTAATAAGTTATCTTCTAATAGTTACTTCTTGCTAGAAAAAAAGCATTTTAAAATAAGAATACCATAAAATCAGTTTTTGTAAAAGGTAACTGATATATGCATATAAAGATAAAATATTCGAAAAATGAAGAACTTTTATGATAACGTTATTATTTCAACTTTAATATCGTCAGAAAAGTGGATAATGCAGAGGTAGATACACATTAAGTGTTTATTATCAGTTTATTTGCTGCTAGATTGGTATGTACTTATTCATCTGGATTGATATTTGATGCATCAGATAGTAGATAACTTTGCTGAAATCTATTGGTATAAAGACATTAAACAATAACTGAATTAAATTTCAAATCACCATCAAATAAGCCTAAACAATACTTTTTTAATTCAGTGTCTTAATAAATAGGTAAAAGATATCATTAGATGAAAAATCTTACTGATATAAATTTTACTTTATTTTACTACTTTCGGATTTAATTTAATGCTTCAAAAACATAACACAGTGGTGGTGATGATATATAAACTTTTAAGTCGATGTTATTCTCTGTATCATTATTTTTAAAAACTGTATTCTCTACGTTTAGCTTTACAGTATTAATGATGCTGTTATCCTGTCGATTATTTCATCCTCACCATTGTCTCAATGCGAAATTTAAGGGAACCTGCCCAGATGATATGCCTGTGCTAAGACCTACACTATTTATAACTGATTAATTATAGCCATACAACTGATAGCTAATAAAATAGGTTTAAATTTGCTGCTTAAATTATGTATCAGTTTTATCTAACGTTTACTGTTAACATGCTTTTATCCCTCCATTTTGCGGATATATATTACAGTAGATTTTATTGCTTATTTGTAATCTATCGATCATTCGTATTTGTTTTGTTTATAATTATTCAAATTACAAACAAAATCTTCCAGACTGAAAAAGTATCGTTACAAAATAATCTTTAAGATTTGTGATATTCAGCTATAAAAATACTCTGACAAAATAAACCGGACAATATAGACAATAAAAAAAGTAACCCACTGAGAATGCAAAACGGAAGTACTTGAAATGATAAGCGGCAAGCATTCTCATTGATCTACTGACAAAAATAGTATTTTGAAGAGACAATGTTAAATATGATGATCTAAAATGTCGATTTCAGAACATAGGAGTGCTCATTTTGAGAGCTATTTCATAATTCAACTGTACGCTTAATTCACCTCAGGTCTTCTTGTATCATTCAAACAATCATTTGTCACTGACAAATAAGATTTTTGGAACATTTCCTATAGCCAAATTAAATACCACAACACGACCGATTACGCCAATACCATGAGTTCATCTTCCATTATGACATGTATTCTTATACTTTGTAAGTGGCTAGTTTAGACGCTGTAACTGCAATTTCCAGCTGAAGAAAAAGCGTTTTTATAACTAGCGTGGTCCACCTCTTGTCACAAAAATAATCTCAGACGTTTGGTTTTCCTACTCGTCATGATTACAATTAGTAAACCACCTTAATTAAAACGCAAAATGTGTATGTCGAACTTCTTAGAGCATATTCGTAAAGAATAGAACAAAGTTTGTCTTACCATCGTTCATTTACTTGTTTATTAAGATCGTATTCCGATACAGGAGAAGCCACTATGCTTTCAGCATCTACCATAGCTCTGGGTCGCTTTTGAGTAGAGTAAATTGATTTATTTTCTATATTAGGTTGAATAAATTCCATACTTTGAGCTTTTAGTTGATTGGTTAATCTATCACATTGAATTTGACTTTGTATTAAGCTTTACATTTCGTCACAAAACAAAGAATTTAATCATACTATTAAATGCAGAGTAAATTAGTTGAAAGATATGTATAGTTGTCTCAAAAATGATAAGAGGGAATAATCGAACAAAATTTGTACACAAATTAAAATATTTAAATATATTAAGATAACTCACCGTTCTAAAATCTCATTTTCTAAACTTGGTAAGCTTTTCGAATAATCCAAATTATTACGATAATCTTTTGCCGTCGGATGTATATTGGTACATGAATGTAAGTCCCTCTGATTTTGACGGAAGTTATTTTCTGAAATCATCACCGGTGACCGATAAGACTTTTTAATTGTTTCCTCAACAAAGGCTTCAGGAAATACTTTGTTACTTTCTGTACAAAGGCTACCTAAACATTTTAAAATAAATATATATTGATGTAAGATGATTTGATGGGATACTTTGCCCAATCACTATGAATATATTAAGATTGTTATTTTAGTTGCTTTTTTAGAAAAACTAACGATAAACCAAGTTTTGGTACCTAATAAATATTGCTAAAAACAGCCAGATCTCTTTTGAATAGCTTCGATTAGACTTACTATATCCAGAATTTTGTTGAAATTATTCACTCACCTGTCGTAGCTATCTCTCAGTATATACTTATCTCATTTTACCTGATTGCACCTATAATACCATTATTTTACCCACTGGTTTCCGTCGTTAATCTGTTTGCTACTCAACACCCATTAAACCAAACGACAAGTCGATGAGAAAACCTGATTCTTCTAACCATACGTGTTATAAAGTTTGACGAGCAAAGCTGCCTAGAATCAGATTATTGACGAACATCAAGGAAGGGGACATAAGAATAAACCCAATAATGTATTACTTATCATCATGTGTGCCATAATAAGCATTCCCAAGGTAATCATTTGATTTGTGAAAATTTCCACAACTAGTAGCCAATAGTTTTAATAATGTAGTTTCCCATCTCAGTACACGTAGACTGAATCGTTTTGAGCTAACCTTTGTCTAAGTATACTGACTAAGTCGCCATTGTTAGTTAAATTTTAAAACCCAGTCCCCACCAAAACGGAAAACAGTAAGCTGAAAAGTAGCTCAAAAAATGCTCAACTAAACTGAGTCCCGGAAACATAAAGCTGGTATGCAACCAGAGACTACCTAATTTTAAACCATTCTACTTATCATATAGAAAAACTAGAGGTAATTTCATCACAAATTTTGAATTCATTAATACCAGCTTTTGTGTCTTGCGCTCATTTTTCTTTTGTTTTAAAATAAAGAATTAATGAGGGCACTCCCAAAACGTTTTCAAACCCAAAACCAACTACCTGTCACAGAACTACCAAGTCATCAACTAGTGGAACTTCTTACCTCAAAACGCGCCTAAAGCTCCATTTATTGACGCATTCGGACAAAATCTGGATGAAGTGAAAGGTGCGCATTGCTAAAATTAACTCATTCTCTCCAGCTTATTGTTCTTTTCGAAATCAAATCGTATTGAAATGGCTTCAAAACAGTTCAGGATTCAGATGAATAAGTGACCAGGCTAATGAATGTGTGATTTGGAAGTTAAAGGGGATCTCGTTGAAATATACGACGATAATGACGTGTAAACTGTGTTTAGAAATGTTTATTTATGTTGCTAGAACACACTTCAGAGCATCTTAATCATGGGAATCCAGTCGTATTTGCTGATGTTTTAGATTAGTTTCTGAAAACCTAAATACTTCACTAAAATCGCAGCATTAATGATGGGAAATCGCCTTGCACAAATAGTGTTAAGTTCACAGTAATGTGCCAGAAACCTTCAATGAACTTCAACATACTATCCAATGTGTGTTCGGAGCAAAACGATCCCCAAGCCACTCTGGGTGGCAAGGGAAAGCTCTCCACAGACTTAAAAGTGTGCTACACAAATGCTCGCAGCCTACTAAATAAAATGGCGGAGCTAAAGTCAGTGGTGGATAAAGAAAAACCGGACGTTATCGCTGTCTCGGAAACTTGGTTAACGTCAGAAGTATTAGATAGTGAAATCCAGTTGACTGGTTTCATAACCAGTAGGGCTGATAGATTAAACCGAAGGGGAGGCGGGGTTATTGTGTACACGAAAAGTACCCTAACCATAAGATTAGCTGAGACAGTAGCACATGTTTCAGGGACATGTGAACTGGTGAGATGTAAGTTGAAATGCCGAAGGCAAGATATTGAAGTAGTAGTTTATCGCAGTCCAGAAAGTGTAGCAGATGATTTTCTCCTAAGTAAACTTAAGTCCTGGTGTAACAACGGTAAAAGCCTTGTAGTAGGCGACTTTAATGCACCATATATAAACTGGGCTAACTTAGAAGTAGGGTCATCCATATCGTCGTTCGACTCCAAACTGTTAGAAACCTCGATTGGACTAGCATTATTCCAACACATTAGAGATCCCACAAGATACGACTTCAGAAACTCTTCTTCTCTTTTAGATTTAGTCTTCACGCACGGTGATGACGTTGGTCAAACGGCTTTTCTCCCACCACTTGGGAGAAGTGACCATGCAGTCATCTTATTCAAATTCATGGCTGAGATTGCTTGTCAAACAATTGTGCCGGCCCGTCCTAACATATGGAAGGTAGATATGCAGGCAATTAATTCCGCAGCATCGGCTGAGAACTGAGAAATTGACTCAAAGTCATCAGTACAAGAGGCATGGACTCTATTCAGGCAGTTGTACAATCGGGTAACTCAACCATACATACCCTGGACTGTCCCAAAGAAAAAGAAGCACGGACATCCCTGGATAGGGCGGGATATTCGACGCTTACTAAGACAAAAGAAGAAATGCTGGGATGTTGCCATCCGCCTTGGCACAGCAGGTACGATGGAACGCTACAGATCGATAAGAAACGAGTGTATAACTAAAATTTGGGAAGCGCAAAGAAAATATGAAATGCAGCTGGCAGAATCTGCACTCAAGCAGCCCAAGAGGATATTCTCGTACATAAACTACGGGACAAGGATTCATCATTAGATTCCCAACCTAATTAAAGTAGGAAGTGAATCTGAAATGATAGAGGAAGATCAGGAAAAAGCTGAGGTTATGGCTGACTACTTTGGGGCAGTTTTCACTCAGGAACCTCCTCTAGATAAAGAACCAGACCCAAATACAGAGTCAACAAACCAGCTGTTCACCGTGGACTTCGAGCAAAACGATGTGCTTATGGCTTTTAGCACCCTAAACATGGAAGAGTCAACAGGACCAGATGAACTACACCCTAAAATCTTGAGACATATTGCCCAATATATCGCAGCCCCACTAACTGTGATATTCAAAATGTCACTTGACCAAGGTGTGTTACCTATAGACTGGAAGGACGCAATCGTCACTCCCATACATAAAACAGGTCCACGACAAGTTCCATCGAATTACAGACCCGTAAGCCTTACCAGTGTTGTAATTAAAATACTGGAAAGAATAATCAAACGGACCATAACGGCATTTATGGAAACCAATAACTTGCTGAACATGGCACAAAATGGTTTTAGAAAGGGTCTATCCTATACAACGAACCTCCTTATAGCTAGAGAGCTCTGGATTAATGCGCTAGACAACGGAAACTCAGTGGATGTTGTCTACATAGACTTCAGTAAGGCTTTTGACAAGGTACCAACTAACAGACTGCTATTGAAGTTGGCAAACCTTGGTATTGCCGGACCTCTTTTAAAATGGATTAAGGATTTCCTAGTAGGTCGTAGGCAAAAAGTAAGAATAAATTCCAAGTGCTCCATCTGGAGACCAGTACTTAGTGGAGTACCCCAAGGTTCCGTCTTAGGTCCTTTACTTTTTATAATGTACGTTAATGATCTTACAAGTATAATACAGTCTCCAATGTTATTATACGCTGACGATGTAAAAATTTGGCGAGTAATAACTGGAGACAAAGACGCATTTACTCTTTAGGCGGACTTAAATAATATGATAAACTGGTCTAAAGAGTGGCTGATGCCTGTCAACTCGGAAAAGTGTGTCTACATGCACTTGGGGGATTCAAAGGTTAATACGTACAACATAGGGGATGTGTCATTACCCGTAGTCCGGTCTCATAAGGACCTAGGGGTGACAGTGAGCAATGATCATAAGACGACTGCCCATTGCCAGGAGGTCGCAGTTAAGGGGTTTCGAACCCTCTGGGCTTTAAAAAGGACATTCACTAAGTTTGATACTACCATGTTCACCACATTATACACATCCTTAGTGAGAACTAAGAGAACTGTGTTCAGGCTGCAAGCCCCTGTTTAAAAGGTGACTCGGGCATACTAGAAAAAGTACAGAGGGCAGCTACGCGTGCAATTCCGGAACTCCGGGGTTTATCATATAAAGAGCGGCTTGAAAAACTGGACCTCTTTACTCTGTCCTATCGTAGACTAAGGGGAGATCTAATATTGATGTACAGAATACTGAGAAATGATTTCGGACCTAACTTATTCTCTCTCTTTCTTCCCACTAGATCGGGACACCTCAAAGGACATAGCAGGCGAGTAGAAAAGCCAAGAACGAACAAAATACCAGTGGCATACAGGTTTTCACACCGAGTCATCAATACTTGGAACCTGCTGCCTGAAGCAGTGGTGTCCGCACCTTCAATTGACTCTTTCAAGAGAAGACTGGACACTCACAGAAGCATACTAGAAAAGGAATAACATAGGCCGTAAGCCTTCTGTCCTTACTACATAAGTCTGAATCTGAATTAAAATAGTTATAATATATAATGTCATAGTGATTCAAATGTTTGGCTGGTCTTAGAACACCTGATTAGCACCTGTATCAGTAATTACCAAACTTACGAGTTCTATGAACCCTTAATCTGTATCATTTATACAGATTATCCAGGTACAACGCGTCTTACATTGGCTTCATGAAATATCATCAGGGAGAGCATAAAAATCAAACATAAGTTGGATAGAGCACCAAGAAATATTGGTCACTAGTTACACTACAGGAAAAATGAGCTAACCTTGTGTCACGAACAACCTTAAAATTTTGAACAATTCATGCTGCAAACTAGCATTAGCTTCAATTAGCTCACAACAAACCGTAGTATTATCAGTAAGGCTGTTTACCTGTTGCAGTAAATTGAAAGAAGTATAAATTACTTTAGATTCTTTTTCCCAATTTTTGAATCTCTCAAAAATGCGGAAAGATGGCTCTATTTGAGCGCATATTAACTCATGAGCAAGCATAGTCGATAACTAGTATGTTTAATCTAAACATTCACGACTGACTTTCGCCTTCGGAGTGATGCGTTTAAACAAACTGTTTAATTACAATATCTAATATGTATTTAGGATGACTGTACGTCAACAAGATAACTAATTCGCCTTTTTCGCTTTCTATTTAATAAGGGTTTCAAAGCACTGATAATACGATTTAGTTAAAGGGGGTCGAGGTTGGGGCTTAGAAATCAATTCTATGACGAGTGTGCTAATGCACATCGGTCACGGTAATAGTTGCCACTATACTATTGTTGGTAAATCTCTTCCATGCATTCAAGAACATCAAGATTTAGGAGTAATAATGAGTCATGGCTTGAAAACAACTACGCATTGCAACTCAGCCGCTGTCAAAGGTTTTCGTGGACTCTGTCTTTTGATTTCTCTGGGCGGGAACGAAATATATTAGAAGGTGTTACTGGTAGAAGCGTTGTCAAACACTGAATACCTGTGACATCATCATTGGTGAAACCGACGTGATCTGGTACACCTAATTGCAACTGTGAGTCTGTTCCTTTTTGGGATTTTTATATATCATTGCCTTATTTTTTTTTTTTTTAAACATTGTGATTTTTTTCGTGTTTTTTCCTGGATATATATATTTTCCCCTCGTTCATTATCGTACTTCATACTTCATCATGACTGAACAGACACCTAAAGTACTCAAGATTAAGACTTTGTCCCCGCCTTCGTTTCAACTGATGCCTTTCTGGCCCGACAACATCGAAGCCTGGTTTTGCTACGCAGAAGCCGACTTCTCCGAGCACGGCGTGATCGACACACGTGCACAATTCCTCGCAGTAGTCAAGGCACTACCGCGCGAATTCAACAGGTACGTAACACCTAGTATGTTTACTAGTGATGTTTCCGATCCTTACGAAATCTTAAAACGCTCGATTCTTAAACGAGGAGACCTAACCGATCGACAAAGGTTAGATCAACTCTTCAACAATATCGACCTGCAACACGGTTCTGCGACGGACATGTTGCAACGGATGAGAGAGGTAATAGGCCCAAGAACTTTCGACGAAGGCCTATTCAAACAACTCTTCTTGTCAAAACTTCCCCAACAGGTGCAAGTAGTTCTGGTCTCGTTCCAGAACAATGCCTTAGACGAGCTAGCTGCATCTGCCGACCGCATTTAGAAATTACGAAATCTACTACCGAGGTATTTTCAGTCAAAGAAAAACCTCAAACGACTCAGAATGATATAAACGACTTATGTCACACACTCACGCGTTATCTTAGTCTTCGTCACGACCGTAAGAGATCGCGCACACCACGTAGAAGCATTTCTCGTAAGCGATCTGTCTCTAGACCACGAGAGACAGATAACCCCGACTGGTGCTGGTATCATAACCAGTATGGAAAGCTTTCCAGAAATTGCAGAAAACCCTGCAATTTTCCCAACACGAAACCGACTGATTCGAAAAGCAATTCGGGAAACTTCCAAGCCGGCACGCGTTAACGGCAACCGTAGCCGGCGAACAAAGCCGTCTGTTATTCGTCACAGATGTGACAACGAGAGTTCGTTACCTCGTCGACACTGGCGCAGAAGTTAGCGTTCTCCCAGCAAATCCTAACGACCGACTACACGAATCGACCCTAAACTTACAGGCGGCAAACGGAAAACCGATCGCTACGTATGGCAAAAGGTACGTTTACCTTAACGTGGGTTTACGCAAACCCATCCACTGGATTTTCGTTGTTGCAGATGTTTCTATGCCAATCATTGGTATGGACCTTCTACAACACCACAATCTGATCATCGACACTCGCAAACGGAGGCTAGTAGACGGAAACACTAATTTGTCCGTTTGCGTAACTTCTTTTACTGGTTGTAGAGTATCCCCAGTCACAGTTAAACATATGATAGACCCACTCTATCAACCACTACTCGATAAGTACCCTGGGATACAACAAACTCAACCGAAACTACCGTGTGTAACCAGCAATGTTACACATCACATCACGACTACAGGACCACCTGTATTCTCTAAAGCACGACGACTAGCTCCTGAAAAGCTAAGGTTAGCGAAAAACGAATTCGATCACATGATGGACTTAGGAATCATACGACCGTCAAGTAGCCCATATGCATCTCCGTTGCACATGGTCCCTAAAAAGGACAGCAACGATTGGCGTCCAACTGGTGACTATCGGCGATTGAACGCGAAAACCATTCCCGATCGTTACCCGTTGCCTCACATTCACGATTTGACAGCTACCTTGAAAGGTACAACTGTCTTTTCGAAAATCGACTTGGTTAAAGCGTATAACCAAATCCCTATGGCTACTGACGACATACCGAAAACAGCTATCATAACTCCTTTCGGACTCTATGAATTTTTGCGAATGCCTTTCGGTCTAAGGAATGCTGCTCAAACATTCCAAAGGTTCATAGACGACGTTTTTCGAGGTCTCAACTTCGTACACGCGTATGTTGACGACTGTCTAATCGCAAGTCCGGACAGAGAAACACATCTCAAGCATCTGGATCTTGTTTTCGAACGACTTCAAAAACATGGCATAACTGTAAACGTTCAGAAATGCCAATTCGGAACCGACTCGTTAGACTTCCTAGGACACACTATCGATGCTCAAGGCATTCGACCTCTTAGGACCAAAGTGGCGGCCATTCTGGATTACCCAGAACCGACCACCGTCAAGCAATTACGCACGTTTAACGGCCTGGTAAGTTTCTATAGACGTTTCATACCCAAATGCGCATTACTTATGAAACCTCTGACCGACCAACTTCGTGGAAATGCGAAATCCATTAATTTGGACGACACCGCACGAAAAGCATTCTCCACAGTTAAGGAACTGATTGCTAAAGCAACGATGCTCGCACATCAGGACACCCGAGCACCCATTAGCATCGCAGTAGACGCATCCGACTCGGCAATCGGAGGAGTCTTACAACAATGGGTTAACAAGTCCTGGCAACCCTTGGCATTTTTCTCTAGAAGGTTGCTAGACACCGAATCGAGGTACAGCACATTCGGTAGGGAACTCCTAGCTATGTATTGTGCTGTACGGCATTTCCAACACTACATCGAAGGTCGTGAATTCACTCTTTTCACGGACCATAAACCGCTCACTTTCTCGTTAAGCTCTCCTTCTGACAAGTACTCTCCACGTGAGTCTCGACAACTGGACTACATTTCGCAGTTTACTTCAGATATTCAACACGTCTCTGGAGCAAACAATGTAGTTGCAGACGCTTTATCTCGCATAACTTCCTTGAACAGTTTCCAAGGAATCGACCTTCTCAAACTCGCCGAGCTTCAAAAAGAAGACAGTGATCTTCAGCACGAGTTATCGTCCACAACACTTAAACTACGCATCAAACAGATGGGAACAGGTAAGGAAACCTTACTTTGTGACACGTCTACAGGTAGGGATCGCCCAATCGTGCCGAAACATTATCGACGCAATGTCTTCAACACATTGCACAAACTTTCGCATCCAGGTGTTCGTGCAACCATCAAGCTTATTGCAGAAAGGTTTTGCTGGCCTGGAATGAATAAAGACGTGAGGGAGTGGGCACGCTCCTGTGTAAGCTGCCAAAAATCTAAGGTTATCAGACACAATAAATGTCCCTTAGGCTCGTTTAAAACTCCCGATGCTCGTTTCGACCATGTTCATCTGGATTTGGTAGGACCTTTACCAGATTCAAATGGATACTCTTATCTCTTAACCTGCGTAGACCGTTTCACTCGATGGCCAGAAGCAGTACCTATCAAGGACATCACTGCTGAAACAGTGGCCCGCACCTTCGTCGAACGATGGGTAGCAAACTTCGGCTGCCCCTCAACCATCACTACAGACCGCGGACGTCAGTTTGAACCCGATCTTTTCCGTCGTCTGACCACACTTTTAGGAATCACTCGCTTCCGAACGACCGCCTACCATCCACAAGCAAACGGGTTGGTAGAACGTTTTCACCGACAACTGAAAGCTTCGCTATCAGCTGCAAACGTTTCACAGTGGACCGACGCTCTTCCACTCGTCTTACTAGGTATCCGCAATGCAGTGAAAGCTGACATTGGATACACTGCGTCCCAACTCGTTTATGGTACGACACTTCGACTTCCAGGAGAATTCGTGGATCCTTCATCCTCTTCAATGAACATGGATCTAACCTCCTACACGAACAGGCTTACAAACGCAATGCGTTCAGTTAAACCTGCTTCCACTCGACCTCAATCAACTGATGTTTTCGTTCAACCTGACTTACGATATAGTACACACGTTTTCGTTCGTCGAGACTCGCATCGACGACCCTTCGAATCAGCATACGAAGGACCCTTCAAAGTTCTTCAACGTGAATCTAAGTACTATATAGTCGATAAGAACGGAACCAACGATAGCATCAGTATCGATCGCTTAAAAGCAGCGTATTTAGAAGGAAATCCTATCCACGTCGATTTTCCTTCGGTACAATTGAACGACACGACTCCGACACTTATAATACCTCACCCGACAACCAACACACACGATGATACTTCGACAGTATCCGAAAATAAACTTAAAACGACGCGTTCTGGAAGAAGAGTGAGATTTCCAGAACATTTAAACGACTATTGCACGTAAGGCACTTCTAGAAATTCTATATTATTTTTTTTTAAAAAAAAAACAATTTTAATATGCTTATATATTTTTATTTCTATTTAAAAAAAAACAAAACAAAAAAACAATTTTTTAACGCTATTACGTGTTCATGAGTTTATTTTCCATTTTTTTTCCGCCGACATTGTGCTTTTACGCACATACGAGTGTATTTCGACATGCACTTACATTTTCTTTTTTCTTTTCCAGGACGGCTGGAAAAGAATGATGACGTTTATGAGGATCCGAAATTTTCCATGTACATTTTCTTTTTTTACTATGTTGTACCTCCGTCCCATATAGTAAGGAAAGACGACCAGACGCTGCTAAATTTAGTAAGCTATCAGAAGAGTGTTTACCAACGACAAACTCGTTGGGTTTAAA